AGGGAGGTGGGCAGTTGGGCAGCTGGGCAGCTGGGTCGCCGCCCCGTTTGGCGTCTGCAGTTGGATTGCATTAAATGTCAAGGAAACCGCATGTCCACCCTCGTCTGCTGGCTGTCCTTGCGTCTGGGCCTGGCCAATTTTATGGCAGCCTGGGCACTGGAGGGTCGGGATGGAAGGATTCGCCAGGGACACCGCCCCACTTGTAAGGCATTTTATAATTTAATTTTCATATGTGGCAGCGTCGAGTGTCGGGGCCCGGTTCGTTTATCTTCCCACTCCAAGTGGGTGTTGCTATCGATTATTATCGATTATTCTGCAGGCCCGGCTGGCAACCATAAATCAGTGCAGCCCCCACCGCCCTGCTGGGCTTTCATCAGCTCATTTATCACTTGGGCAAACAGCAGAGGGCACAGCTGCGGGAAAAATGGCAAGTAAAATAAAAACAAAAGACTCTGGCAACGAACTAAGTGCAGTCGCCCTCTAATGTCAACGCTGGGACTCGCTACTCAGCCTACTCAAGGCAGGAGAAGTCGCAGCTACCAGCGACAAAAGTGATAATTAATGTGTAAGCCGATCTCCCCGAGCCCCGACCCCCAAGCCCCGTCCCGTGGAAAATTGTCATCGGCCGGGGATCGAGGCGCTGGAGCTCCACATGCTAACCAAGGTGCTGACACTAAGCACTTGTCACCCAGTCCGCAGCCAGAGCCAGAAGCCCGATGCTACATATGCATGCCAGTGATGCCAAGTTACTTTCAAAGGAAAGGTTAGAGAAATTAATGTGCAACTTAATTGCACCGAGTCACACCCATACGTTGCTTACTGTATGGTTTTCTGAAATAAATCGGATATCGGACATTTTATTGACTTTATTAAGTGTAATTTAATTTTTATTAGTATGTTGACCCCTGTTTGCCCATCTAAAGAGAAAGGAAACATGTAATTACCTCAAAAATTGATTGGCACTAATAATTTACGAGGTGTTTGCTAAAACAAAAGTATCTTTGCATTAATGGCTTGGGAAATGACTGGCATCATTGTATTAAAATGGATTGCTTTTGAAAAGCAGTGGTGCATCTAAAAAACTTAGGAAAAAATACATATATAAATGTTAATACCCTAGTAATATATTTGTTGTTTTTATACCCGTTACTCGTAGAGTAAAAGGTATACTAGATTCGTCGGAAAGTATGTAACAGGCAGAAGGAAGCGTTTCCGACCCATAAGTATATATATTCTTGATCAGGATCACTAGCCGAGTCGATCTAGCCATGTCCGTCTGTACGTCTGTCCGTCTGTCCGTCTGTCTGTCCGGATGAACGCTGAGATCTCGGAAACTATGAGAGCTAGGCTATTGAGATTTGGCGTACAGATTCCTGAGCTTCCTACGCAGCGCAAGTTTGTTTCAGTAGACTGCCACGCCCACTCTAACGCCCACAAACCGCCCAAAACTGTAACTCCAACAGTTTTGATGCTAGATAAAAAATTTTAACTGAAATGTATTGTTCTCATCAATACCTATCGATTGACCTAAAAAAAAGTTTGCCACGCCCACTTAAACGCCCACAAACCGCGAAAACCTGTGACGCCCACAATTTGCATGCTACATAAAAAATTTTAACTGAAATGTATTGGTGTCGTCAATACCTATCGATTTATCCAAAAATAAATTTGCCACGCCCACTCTAACGCCCATAACGCTTAAATCTGTCTACCGCCGGTAGGTGGCGCATTTTAATCTCGCTTTGCTGCTTGCATATCTCCATTTAGCTGAGTAACGGTATCTGATAGTCGAGTACTCGACTATAGCGTTCTTCCTTGTTTAAATGTTATACCTGAGTGGGTGTGATCTGTTCCCCATATTCCCCCATATTCAATGCCAGTGACTGCGGAGTGATTCACAGTGATCCCGAATCCTGCTCATCTTCAGCTCGGCGTGCGTGTGTCTCTGCCAGCATCCTTCTTCCCCGCCGGTGTCCAATCCCGGGACATGTCTTCCACTGCAGCTGGACAAATTGCAGTTGTCGTCGTCGCCGTTTTGTGGATGCTGCCTCCTTTTTCATACACATGTGTGCGGATATATAAAAAGGCCTTCGTACCCGAGTCGTTGTTATGTGCGTAGTTATGCAAACAGTGGCCAGCCAGAACAAGTTGTGGCTGCTGTTGGCTGTCGTAATTAAAGGTCAACATTTGTGCAAGTTGTCAATGGCATGACCATGCGAGGGGTGGATCCCAAACGGAGGAACCCGAGACCTGAGAGGGTCTGAGAACCAGGACCACATAAATAATTCCCGCAAATGAGATGTCCCAGGTGGGGGGAGCTGACCGGAGTTAAAAGCCCTCGGTACGTAAAGGAAGAGGATCATAAAACTTAATTGGTTTTTTCTTCTCTTGTAGTTACACCTTACCTTACCTTACCTTTGCCTTAAGTTGGTTTTAAGAAAGCGTTCTTAAAGTTACGGCCAAATTTGTCGGCCTTTTGATTTGTTACAGTCATCGGGAAAAAATCAAAAGAAGGAAATCCTCCACTTCCTAGCCCATCCACGTGAATTTTCCACCGATAAAGATCCGCACTCGAAGAGATCCGCTCGAGAGGAAGTATTTATCGCCAGGGAGACTTTTACCTGGGGTCTTGGGGCTTCGGCTCATTTGCAATTTAGACAAAAGCAAAAATTTCCAAAGATGATTGCTGCTGCCGCTGAAGTTTCAGCCTTCGATGCTGCTGGAAAATTTCACTTTTTCTTTTATGGTTTTGGTTTTCAGCTAGGCACTCTGCGTTGCACTTTACATTATTACTATTGTTATTCAACCCAAAATATTTTTAACGAAACTGGCCGAGTTGCAGCTCCATTGCTTGCACAAATTGCAGTCTATTCTGCGGCAAGTGCAAGCTCGCGAAAATAAAGACTACCATTTGCCACTTTACACTGAGAGAATTAAGCCCATTGCTTGATAAAAGACTTAAGTTAATGGTGAGTATCTGGGTAATTTTATATGAAAGTATATACTGAATTCTTTAAAGACTTATATTACTGGCATAAAGAAATTAAACGCATTTGTTGGAATATACAAAATCATAGTAGGTATCTCAGTTTTAATAAACATTTGGAAATTTAAAAAAAACAGTCCCTCATAAAACAAAGTGTGGATCCAGGGAAGGGGAAGTTGTGTTACAAGAAACCATTATATTAATTTAATATTTCGAAAAGATTTGCCCTCTGGATCAGGAAATTCCCTACCAATATAAATATATCCGGCCCTGGTTATATCACGATTAAATTTAACTTGAAATTGTTGATGATACATAACTCTAGTTCTAGTGTATTGTGTTACATACATTAAACATTAAAAACAATACTTTCAAGTGTTTATATTTATACTGCGTTTACACCTAGGTACCATTGCTTTCCGCCCTTATAATTACCCTCACTTGGATCTCAGTGTACTCTCATTGCCCCGTCATGCTTTCTTTGCTTTTTCTCCGAGCAATGTTCATTGTGCGATATTTGATGATGTTGTTGCTGCGCTTTTTCCCTGCGCTAATTACGGACAGAGGGGCTTTTTGTGATTTATTGCAAAGTGCAGCACAACGAACGCCAAGGAGGAGGTTGTTGCTGTTGCCGTTGCTGTTGCACTTGTTGCAGTTGCACTTGCTGTTGTTGCTCCCATGAAGCGTGGCACGTGTTGCGTTTAATGTGCAGTTTCTATTACTCTCGCCAGGCTGCGGCGATTGAAAGTGAAACTCAATTTTATGAGGCAGATAGACAACTCATCTGGGAAGAAGACCGCAGCTAAAAGGGGGTATCGGTGCCTCGAGGCAATCCCCTCTCAGAGCGCGGCTGGCCAACAACTTGCACTTTTGGCTGATAATTGACCTCATTTAAGATGCGGCTGCTGCGATAAGGCTGATAGGAATTAAAAGCGGCATTCACTAATTTAGCCAGACTCCCGGCCGAAGGATGGGCCAATGCCAGTTCTATGGGAGACGCAGAGCCCGGGCCTGACTATGATCCTTATCGATCGGCCCTTAGGACTAGACCAAAAGAGAAGTTGACTTCGGATATAGCTGCTGCCGATCCTGCTGCTCCTGCTCTTGGCCATTGGCTGTTGCCGGTTGCCAGTTGCCAATTTCCAATCGCAGCCAGCAATCGCGCCACGCTAACGAGACGACGACAACAACGTGCTGCAGGCACTGCCAGCGAGAGGAGATTCAGAAATTTGAGCTACCCATATGTCATTAAGGTGAAATAAATAAATATAAATATTGTAAGCTTTATTTTATGTCTATCCCCTCCATTGGAATTTGAGGTTTAATAAACTCCCTCAGCTTCAGTACAGCCTTGATATTTCCGGCCCGGGAAATCGTAAAGATTCATCTATTCAAAGATCCACACACAAAACAACTAGCAAACGTATTCTATTATAATTTTTATACTCGCTACTCGGCGAGTAAAAGTTATTTCCGTCTGTGTATGTGAACACTTATGTTATATCTCCGAACTACAAGATTCAGAAATATGTATGTTATTTGTTTTTCATACTATGAAGATGGCAAAGCACACTGAAAAGACACAAACTGCTTCAATCTGAAGCAATAGAAGTTTAATGGATATATGTTCCTTTCTTTTATACACAGAGAGAATTATTCAAGTAATTTGGACTCAAATTGAGTATTTTTGTACTCAAAAATTCAGCATGAACAAAAATTCTCACACTGAGTGCAAAATACTCACTTTCAGTACAAATTTCTCAAAAAATCTGTACTTAAATTGAGTACATTTGTGCTCTTTTTTGAACATTTTTCCTCAATATGAGTACAAACTGCACTCATTTCAAGAAATAATTTAGCTTGAATTTTAGAATCGAGTATCCCTTTTTCTCAAACTGAGAAATTTCTAGCGCTCAAAATGAGAAACAAGTTCTTGATAGTGAACTTATAAATTCTTAAATGAAGAACTTTTGCACTTAAACCCGCTCCACCCATTCCCAGAAAAAAGGTAAAATATTTTTTTTCATTATATTTTGTAATACAGTTATATATATACAAACATATTATTTTTTATTTAAGTTTATGTTCCATGTTATGGGTTATGATATTATTCCCTTAGCTGTCTGGTCTAGCGAAAAGCAAAGAGGCTGAAAAGAAAACGTTATTGTTAGCAAATATTGTAAATATATATGCATATATAAATATGAAACAATAAAATTAGAATGTTATTAAATGTACATTTAAAATGCATGTATGTATGTATGTACATTATACATAAAAAACTAACAAAACTAGACACGTGCTTCACGCCACTTACAATCACACATACATAAATATTGATGTACACGCTTTGGCAATATTTTTGCAGTGTTTGTTTATTGTATCATTATTAAGCACATTATAAATACAGTTAAAATTAAAGAACTTACCCTCGAGGTACGGAAGGGTGGCACGAATGTCCAGTTCACTACAAAAGTTTTTTAACTTTGTGTTACGCGCACGTCTTCACTTTGCTAAATCACACGGCAAATGACAGTCACACAAATGCGGCGCGTACCACTTTACACACCCATTAGTGAGAAAGAGACAACCATATACGCAACGAACTAAAGGCCGCTCATCTCTCGTCTCGTTCGCAGAACGGAATTCTCTAGAACCAATTATGAGAATTATCAACTCATTTTTGAGTCTATCGAATACTCATAATGAGAATATTAATTCTCAAGTTTGAAATTGAAGAACACATTTCCTCAAACTTAGAATTTTGTGATCAATTCAAGTTATTTTTCTTAAAATGAGTGCAACTTTCCTCAACATGAGCTTTTTCCACAAATTTTGTACTTAAATTGAGTACATCCTCAAAATGAGAATACAAATTCTCAATTTCAGAACGTCATAATTTTCTCTGTGTAGGAAACATTTATGTTATGTTTTCCGAACACCTATGTATAAAATCAGTCGTAAAAGAAAGAACCAGTGGTATCATAAATCATACCTCGATTTTCTTCCTTTCGAAATATTTGTTTCAATAATTACAGTTTCATGGTTCAGACACGAAACAGTAATGTGTAAGGAACCTAACTGGGGCCAGATAGACCATCCTCTTTAATTGCTTTTTATAAAGATATGAGTCCTAGAGGAACTCTCTGACCCACCCACGTCCATGGGCCGAATCAGGAACGCGAACTGAACCAGAGACGCGCCTTGCAGTGGTTGCCGCTGCATAAGCATCTGTAACTTTTCGCGCTTATCTAAGCCATAAATCTCCGATGGCGGTAGGCAAGTCCAAAAGCTCCTAGTCAACTGCGAGTCCAAAGCCAAAGCCAAGTCCAAGAGCAAGTCAAGTACGAGTTGAAGTCGTGCGGGCGTTGGCTCGGGCAATCGGCCTCGTCTTTTGGCTCTGGCCACTTGATGGCAAGTGACTAAGTCCGAGGCTTGCAAACTGAAACCGAGACTGACTGGCAATCAAGGCGATTCTCGATCCCCGATCCCAGATTCAGAGATTTCCAGCTCCCGATTCCCGATTTCCGATGCTCCATCATCGTCCGCCGTCTCTAATGGGCTAACGTCACACTTCTTATCTAACAATAAGCCCAGGACCAGTGGAAAGACCGCCAGTAATAAATGCGACCCACATACGCGACCAGTTGGCCTGGCCAAAAATAAACAGAAAAGCAGCAGCACCATTCTTTTGCATTGCCCTGCCCTGGCCTGGCCCCAAATCTTGGTAATCCCGTGGAGGTGGAGATGGAGGTCGAGATGGCGGTGGAGGGAGGCCAGAGACCAGGGACCAAAGAACGCAGACGGGATTTCCAGTGGCTCAGTGGCAATAAATTTCAATTTGCTGGCTGCTCGCAGCCAGCTGAGCTGCAACTCCAGCTCTGCCCCACTCAAAACTACAGGCCGAGAGTTGCCTGGCAACAATGCAACGCGGAGGTAAAATGATAAAAATTCGATTACATTCAGGTGTGAAACTCACATGTACTGCAGAGATTTACTTGTTTTTGTACTCTACAATCTGGTAATTGAGTCTCTGGGCTAGAAGTGCAGAGATACATTTCGATCTGGCACATTAATATTTCCGTTGGAAATTCGGTGTGTGCTGCTATAGTCAGTAGGTGACTGGGTCTTAGGATTCCGAGCGTCCGGATTACAACCGAAAGTCGATTTATTTCAATATCTAATATTTCCTAATTTTTAAAATTAATTGTTTAGCTATTTACATAAAGTATGTAATAATTTCAGCTCACAGAACTCAAGGAACCCATTTCACAAGTAGCTCATAGCTGGATCGGCTTACATTTCGTTAACTTTCCTCCGTTCTTTTTCGGCCAAGACTGTGCCAATTGCCAGTTTAAAGCTAAGGCCAAAGTCTGGGCCTGAGATATGCTGGGAGCCCAGCTCTGTTGGCATCCTTATTCTAGTGCTGGATTTTAACAACTTTGGTCTAAGGCCCTTGTTGGTCATTAATCATGCGCTGTGAACGACAAGCGTATAAGTTACCAGCCGATTGGCCCCAAAAAAGGCCATCGGAATTGGGCTCAGCGAGGGCCTAGAGCCACGAGGACAAGGAACGGCTTGGAAGAAAGCCTTCGTCTAATTGGATGCAGATGGGCATAACGGACCCGACCCCAAAGACCCGAACAAGAGATGCGGACAACGGCAAGTTTGGGTGATTCTGTGCGATTCTGGCTGTGATTGGCTGTAAGGCGATGGTTGATGGTTATGATCAGCTTCAGTAGCCAAGGCGTTGTTGCTCAATTGTTTGTCCTGATACTGGCAAGCATTATGTATACTCCTGGGACTTCTGAATGGAGGTAACAATAGAAATACCTCTCCGTTTGGTGGGAAATGGGGTGTACAAAGACAGTTGGTCTTTAAATAAATGATAACATTGTAAAGGCTCACAAAATTTAAAAATAAATTAGGACAATTATTTTTTTCAACTCTAATGCACATGTTAGTACTAATCTATGACTAACCGATTTCTGTGCTCTTAGATAAACATTGTATCGAAAATGCGTACCGTCTAGTGTCTGTTTATAGTCATACGAGTTAAACCTCTGTAATCATGTATAAATAGTATTCTTTGCGTTTTAGCTTTATATGCGGCTATGAAAAGAACAAGTTGACAAGTAAATGTTGTTCTTTCAAAACGTATTGCTTTTTCCAAGATATTTTAGAATATCAGATTAAGTACAGACTATATGGATGATTGGTTTAATTGAATTTTATCCTAACTTTTTAAATATTAATAAATACAAATTTAACCTGTCTTATGCATTTCAGTAGTTGCTTAGAAAGTAGTCGATTTCGCTTTTCTAAAGTCATTCTGCAATCCCGCATACCTTTCAAAAGTTGGCCACCATTGCGCTCCGGTGGTTTTGGGATATTTAATGCTGATTTTGAGTTGGCCCGGCATGCGATGGATTTGTGTCATAATTGAATGGCTCTGCCTGGAGAATGGCACGCGATATTCACCGCCGCAGTGGCGGAGTAATTAAAACTGGTTTTCACTTTTCGCCTGAAGGAAATCGCTTGCATCGCAATGCAAAAAAATGGAAAACTAATTTGGCGCGGCGAGCGCAGCTTCAGTTCCCAAGCAGATGGAAACCCTTTCTGGCATACGTTGTCCGAGGAATGTTCCTTCGGGGCAACACCCACAACGGCCGGCAAAAGCCGTCAACAGCCATTAGCACTTTGGCACATAATTGATACGTGGCTGGACCATAAAGCAAAATGCATAGACATCTACCTCGACAGACACGGGCCCACAGACTCAGCTCGCCGCACACAAAATGACGTTGTAAGAAAAGCGAATAAGGAATTCCTGGCGTCGCGTCGTTTCCCGCCATGTTCTTCAGATTTTCCCGCACAACACCTTCGGGGGCGTTGTGCCATATGACACCATCACCATACCGCACCGCAGCACACGGCTCTTCACACAGAATCTGACGAATCAGAAGGGCTGCCTTGGGTTCGGAGTCTGGGACGGGCTCGTTCTTTTCGGTTCCGTTCCGTTCCGGAACGTAACTAACAATTTATTTAATACGCTGTACGTGCGCTTTAATAAAAGGCTCAATCAATCTGGGAAGCTACAAACCAACCCAAAGACGCTTGCCGCCCAAAATGTGACCGAACTGGGGGTGCACTTATAGACATTCAATTTTAGTTTCTGTAATGTTTATTAATGGTAACTGACACCTTAGTCGATAAGGATATTTTACTGAGAGCAGTTTTAAATGAATACCAGTATGCATTAATACTAATTAATTTATTGTTTTATTATTATATTTTTTTATAAAGATTTTATGGGCCTAAATAGTTACCCGCTTCACTTGATAAATCTGTATACATAAGCTGGGAACTGTAACCATACTGCTTACGTGAGTTTCACATTTTTAGGGTTTTATTTCTTTGACTTGGCTAATCAGGAATTTACCTTTAATAATTATGGTAAGTTATATTTAAGCCTTAAACAAACATTGTATTGTTAACTTAAATACTAAATCTCCCGATGCTTAGCATTCTTCCCCACCAAGCTAACGTGCACTGAAGGCTTTCAGAACCGAATCGAAGCGACCCGAACTGAACCTCTTTGAAGTGTGCATACAAAGTCTCAAGTGCTCAGGGCCCAGAATGAGGCCCGGCTCTCCGGAGTGACAGATACATAGACAACGGCTGCGGCAATCATGGAGACGAAGATGAAGACGATGACGCTTGACGACTATGTCGATGCCGATCCTTTGGCGCTGCTGCAGACAGCGTGTCGAATGGCCTCTTTTGGGGAGGGGGCACCGAAAGCGTTCTCGCTAATGAAGCCATAAAGATATGTATTATTCCATAAATTTAACAAAGCCCGCCTTTGACACCCACACACAGACCTCGAGAGCCGGGGAGGACCCTAGCTTGGGTCTCAAACGCCTGACGTCCTGATAATCTGGCCCAAGTTTATGCATTTGACGACGGGAAATGCATTTAATTTTAACCACAATTAGCCACGCAAAAGGGCGAATGCGAATGCGAGTGCAAGGAAGGTGCGATCGGGGGGCGTTCCCCTGGAGATTATGGCCAGGCTGAGTTCTTTCCTTATTGCTGCCCCTTGGCAATCGCCCGGCACCGGCTGTCTCTCAAACGCCTAACAAGGTGTCAATATCTTAAAAATTTTATCTTTCTGCACATAAAACTCAAGCGGATCATAGTAAATCAGCCTTTGGTCAGGCAGACGACTGCGGTGCCCGCTCTTAGAGTCAAGTTAGCCACCATCTAAAGGCCTTTATGCCTTGCCAGCCCAGCCCCGTCCGATCCGAAGCCCAAGTTCGCGATCGCGGCTGACCCCGCCGCTCCCCACAGCACAATGGACTCCCTGGTTCCCCCGATTCCTGACCAATGGGCCGAGCTATGTGCCTTTTATACGCCGGATTTACGAGCAAGCTCTCCACGTCGTCATCGCCGTCGGAGCGTCGTGGCCGAAGAAATATTCGATGGCCAGGCAACGATTAAAACGGACGCTTCACGCATGCGCGCTCACACACAACGGCAGCCAAAGCTGCACTCCCGTACTAACTCTGATACTTGCACTTACATTTATATGCATTCTGCATAATGGACCCCAACATATAGGGGGAAGAACAGCGGAGAGCATCG